TTAATCTTAAATGAATTTATTTAATTTGTGTGAAGTTGAAATTATTATATTTGGACAAATAATATATTATATTATTTTTTACTTTTATACTGTTTTAATTTATTTTATATTTTGTTTGGGATAAAATACTTTTATGGTGTTTAATTTATTTTAGATTTGGTTTGGAATTATTTATTTAAATTTTTATTACTTGATTATGTAATTAGTTTTGTGAGAAATTGATTTTATTATAAATTACAGTGATAAATTAATAAATTAAAATTAAGTTTCGGGCCATTTCGGGTCGACCCGCCAACCCGTCAACCTAAAATTTTCGGGTTCGGGTCAGCATACCTGACCCGTCACGGGTTGGCGGGTCGGGTTCGGGTCAACAGATTTTCTGACGGATTGACCCGAACCCGACCCGCCAACCTGATTTGGACCCGAATTGCCACCCCTACTTCACAGTGGTGACGTGCTTCCAGGCTTTCGAGGATTATTTATGGGATACTACTATTTGTGGATGGGGAACAGTTTTGAACTGGTTTCCTAAATGGTTATGGACGTGATTCTGTTGGCTTCAATTTCCAGTACTTTATGTTGTGATGCTGTTCTTATTTTTCGTATATAGCTTGTAGGGTGGTTTTTGTAACTTTGTTCTGCTTCCTTGAAACACATGTTTATTGCTTTCCACTTGTACTGTGGAAAAGAAAAGAGACTTATGGGAATATTGCAACTGGGAGATTATAACTTCGATGTTCTTCTGTGATTTGATTTCTTGATCACTGAGCATCTGTTAATCTTCAAGCCTTTTCAGTTTCTTAGCATGGCAATTTCTCCCTAGTCCCTACTTTGGGGATTTTGTGTCTTTGAGGTTTCTCTGTATGTTTGCTGAGGGACCGAGTACATGTGGTTTCTTGAGTTCCATTTAATTTGTGTCATCTGTAGCTCTTTACTTGATCATTTTCAGAGCATTGCCTATTATGACAGCTCATTTTCTGTTTAATCAGCATCTAGAGCTCTGGCCAGCCTTAACCATAGAAAATTGAGGGGAAAAAGTATGAGGATCATGTGGTGTCAGAGGGATCCTCTTGCAAGAAAGAATGGGGTAGCTAATCTGTATGTGAAGAATCTTGATCCTTCAGTTAACAATGCTCACTTGGAAGGGTTGTTTGGCAAATATGGGACAATACTTTCTTGCAAAGTTGCCGAGGAAAATGGGAAGAGTAAAGGCTTTGGGTTTGTTCAGTTTGACTCTGAGGATGCAGCCACAACTGCTCTTAATGCTCTCAATGACACCATGTTTGAAGGGAAGAAATTGTAAGTGGTTTTTTTGTTTTGCTTCACTCTTGTTCGTTTCACTGCAGCTACTCATTTTACCATGTGGCACCCTTTTCCCCTTTATTGAATGTTTTCCTTCAAGCTGCTGAATCACTATTTTTCCCCTTTCCCCCTTGTTCCTCACCCCCCTTCTCTCTTTCTCTGTGGTGGGCTCAGCTTGAGGGAGAACTATGGTTCACTCAACTGTCAGGTGTGTGTCTGACTAGATGCAAATGCACAGAGCATGTTGCATATGAAGCGGATACCATGACCAGAGGATATCTTTGTCATGAATATCTTAGTTTTATTACTCTGTATTACCTCGGATATTTGACAAATTAGATATGATTCTGCTGTGGTTATTAACTTCTAATGTCAACTAATTTTGACTTCGAACTTAATGGAATGCCGCAGTGACTGAGAATTAATAAACACAGCCATGGTGTTTATGTAGATGCATGAAATGTTTGGGAGAGTTTCAAATGAACCGATGAATAAATACTTTATGATATGAAGACATGTCCTCTGTTGCTTTGTCCTTTATCTGCTTGACATATGCTCTTCAACAAATCAAGGAGAATTTTAGATCCTGCCATCAACACATTCCTTAATTAAAACTAGAATTTGAGCAAATGCTACACATGTTATACCTAATAATTACTTAATTCAGTAGAATTAGATCCATAGAGTTTCTTTTAGCCCCAGTTTTGTTTGTCTAGATATATGTTCTCTTCAAAGTTTGTCTCTACATCATTCAATACTTGAATGGCTTTCACAAAAGCTCCCCCGCAGATACATTCTTTCAGCTTATGATTGCATTGGAATTATCATTATCACATTAAGGATTTAATTCTTTGTTCTTGCTTCAGATGTGTATGCAAATTTATTAGGAAGAGTGAGAGAAATGATGCTTCTGAGAAAACATTCACAAATTTATATTTCAAAAATCTTGATGAGAATGTTACCGTGGATTTCCTCAAAGAAAAGTTTTCAGAACATGGGACAGTCTGCAACATTGTGGTTATGAAGGATGATGAGGGGAAGTCAAGAGGTTTTGGATTTGTGAAATTCAGTTTGCATGAAGAGGCTAAGAAGGCAGTCGAATGCCTCAATGGTGCTCTTCTTGGTAAATTTCCAACATCTTCTCCTAGTGCCTTAGTTGTTGTTCTTACTGTTGCAAAGTTGAGAGATTTCTTGACTGTGAAATGCTTATAATGCTCAGGTTCCAAGAATCTGTACGTGGGAAGGGCTCAAAAGAAAGCAGAGAGGGAACAGATCTTGAAGCAAGCACATGAGTTTATGCTCGACAATAATTATGCAAAGTCCAAGGCTTCAAACCTCTTTGTGAAGAATCTCAGTTTATCATTTGATGACCTGGAACTGGAAGAACTTTTCAGTGCTTATGGCAAAGTTACTTCAGCCAAGGTGATGTATAATGAAGATGGTGTCAGCAGAGGATTTGGTTTTGTATGTTTTTCTGGTCCAGAAGAAGCAAAGAGGGCTTTGGAATCACTAAATGGTAAAGATTCTCCCGTTTCTATTGCCTTTCTCCACGTATAGCTAAGATTTCTGATGTCTGCTTTGGCTTTGGATAGGAACTACTGTCCGAGGTATGGTTTTGTATGTGGCCTTGGCTCACTGTAGAAAAGAACACCTTACGCAGTTGCAGAGCATCGACACTAAACAGTCATTCCATACTCCTCACTGGAACATCCATGTCCCTCAATATTATCCTCTATATTACAATGTCCCTCCAGTTCCCATCCCACACTTCCGCCCTTTCCAGCCAAGGCTGTACCAAACCTTCTGCAGATCTCTCAGTGGATTTTTCCCTTTTGACGACCAAGGACTTCAGGGAAAGTTCCGTACCCATGTAAGTAAATTTGACTGTTTAGTTCTCTCCTTAAGTAAATTCCACTGTTAATTTTCTGCATTGTTGTTAGCCTCTCTTTGCTACCTTTCCAAATTTGCTCCCCATTTCTAATTCTTGAAAAGCAGTTGCAGGTTCCACTTCAACAGTCACAGCAGGAGCCCATCAAAGGCATGGCTCACCAGTATCATGTAAGTTTCTTATCCTTAGCTTTATCTTCTTTGCTTGCACAAAAGAACGATTTTACTCTGACTCAAAGGACGTTGATGGATACAGTCAGTGCATTATTGCTCAAGTAAATAAAGTAAATCCGGTAATTTGACTTAAGTTTTTCGCAAACTTTTATTTTCTCATACATCAGAACAACTTTTTTGGTTCCTTCAGTAGTGCAAAAATTTTCTTGGTTATTTAAAGATTTCAGAATGGCCTTTATACTCAGTTCACCTTGTATTGCTTTGCAGCCTAAAAAGTTTAGTACTGCTTATGGTTCAACGCAACCCCTGAATATTGGTTCTGTGAAGCAGCAAAAACCATCAAGTAAACTGGGAAATAAAACTGTCTATGGTCCTCTTGAGACTTCTACGACAGGGCCAGGATCTGTAAATTCTCCTATTATTGATTCTAAACATGACCCAGAATTTGGTGCTTTGAAGCAGAAGAAACCCTCATGTAAACTGGGAAAGAAGAGTACCTGTGCTGACAATGGAACTTCTGCCAGAGGATTTCGATCTGGATCTGTAAGTTCTGCTGCTAGAACATCATCACAATGGGTATACAAGAAAAACTGTAGGACAATGCTACAACCTTTGGACAAGAATAGTCAGGTATGTGGATTTGAAAAAGAAAATTTCCCTCAGAAATTCATTTAATGCAGATCTTCTATCCACGACAATTTGGATAAATCGCTTAGGTTGTCTTGGCAAATATGAAACTCGAAAGCCAGCTTTCTTCCCCTTTCTGCTTATCTATTCTTTTGCTATCCCCACTGAAAAACTTGCGTAAATGATTGGCAATGTAAGTTTCAGAATGAGGATGTATCATTTTGCTATTTGGTAGTTGCTATTTCAGTGATGTTTCTTCTTTTTCTCATCACCCTGGACATACTGCTGAGAAACCCGAAGTATTTGTGAATACGAATGTGCAGGAGCTACCAGAGTCCCAAAATCCAAATGATAAAGGCAAATTCTGGGAGCGTCTCACATAGCAACACCAGTATTCTGCCAGCTGCTCAGAGCTAAACTGACCGATGTTGGTGTTAAAACATTTCTAGCATCAGATAACTCTACTATTTCTATTGAAGAATTGTGTATATCCTAAGGACTGCAGCACTGGTTGTGCGAGCTTGGAGTCTTCATTGAAACTCATTGTTACGTATTATCATGCTCTCAAAATGATTCTTGTTTTGCTTTGCATAAACTTTCCCTTACTACAACCAACTCATTGACGGATAATTTTGGAGCTGATCTTCTGATTTTTTACTTTCTGTGGCCGTTCTTATTTTGTAAATTCTAATGCACATTTCTATATTTTACTAAGGTCTTGAGATGTTGAGACCAATAATTCTTGACCAGTGTGCCTTGATTTCGTTTTTCACAAACCAAGGACCAACCAAATATGCCTTTTATTTTTTTTGCCGAACACGATAGATTCTATCCTATACCTACTACTTTATACTAAGGGGAAGGGGGACCTAAAGAGGTCAAGAGAAGTCCAGAGAGAACTGAACCACCATCCAGGAAAGCCTATGCCGCCACCAAATATGTCTACAGACTGTCTAAATGTTCCGGTACAAGTGTCTTGTGTCTCCGGATAACAACCATATCAGGAAGGCTTTATCAAAATTAAGGCACGTACTTGGAATATAGAGACGTCATTGAAAGTACAGCAGAATCCACTGGCAATCGGAATACAGAAAAAGTGGGAAAACAAAATTTTATGACAGGCCTAGCTCTTACAGATGCACCCTTTTTTCTTTCTTTTTTTTTTTCCCCGTCCTTTTTCTTTGGTAGAGTTCGCAAATGCACCTAGTCAAAGAAAAGTTGGAACTCATCCTATCAGGCTGATGCCTTGTAAGAGTACTGAATCGGCAAGAAGCTGATTAGCTGCCTCAGAAGGATGTACCCCATCCCAAAATACATATTGGGTTGCGTTGCTACAGCTTCGTGATGATCTTGAACGGCACAAGAATACAGTTTTCCCAACTGTCCCTGTACTGCAACAACTTCTGGTTGCTTCTTTAAAACCTGTAAAAAAGAATAATGCGAAAATTGAATCATGAAAATGGCGCCTAATTCAGGTCTTCTCTGCAGAAACTTTGAAGGTTGAATACCATAATCTGAAGGAGATTTGACAGCGTCGTAGAGGGGCTTGAAAATGTCGAAGACAGCTAATTTGAGGCCTGGAAGCCGCTTCTGAAGCTGGATTGCGGTGGAGTTGAGCTTTTGATTGAATCCTTGGGCATCAGTGTTGAGATGAGCAACGCATCCACTCTGGCGGGTGGATCCAAATAAAGTTCTGGCTGCTGGGAGGCAACCCAGTGGCGGTAATGAAGTCACTCCAATTCTCCTGGCTCCCAACCCATACAATTCCTGTTTTTTCAACCAGAACAGCTTTGGATTTAACATCCCATTATTTTGTTTTCTTTGGGCAAAAAGTAAAAATTGCAAGTAGAGCAATTACCTTGACGAAGTTGGAGAGTATGCCGACCAGGTAGGAAGAGTACTGAGCAGGGGTGTAGACTTTGTTAAGTGCAGGATGGAAGTAATAATTTTGTAAAAAGTCACCGCTACCAGTGCCCAAAATATACAGAGCATCCCCGATGATCGATGCTGCTTTTCTGGTGCCTGCTGATTTTTCTAGCTTGCTTTTATACTCCTTGAAATATTGGAATTGCCGCCGCAATGATATAGCTTGCTGGACCAAAATACAGATGGAAAAAGGAACAAAAAAAAATGTAAATTGACTGAAACAAGATTGGCTTTGCCCTTTATTGGTCCAAAAGATGTTTCTCTGCTGCATAGCCTGCATATTAAACGGGTTAAATCTTACATTTATGGAGGCAGTTTTTTCATCGTAGCCAGATCCAGCAGAACCAAAGTTGGCTCCAATGAGAAGGCTCTTCCCTGATGCATGGGGGCTAAGATATGCTGGCGGATAGAAAGTGAAGCCCAGAGTATCAGCTGGAAAAAAAAAAATAAAGAATTGAGAATAATCACTATTTACAGGTCGCAAATCCGAAAGTTCTTGAAATAAACCCTGTCGTGTTAGAAATACAAACATTTAAAGCTGTAATCTATTTGTAGGCCATTCAACACAAGGACCTGTTGGATTCTTGAACTGTAACTTGCCTGTAAAATCAGTAACTAGCTTTCCGTTGCAGAACCTTCCAGTGGCTTGATGACTGGCAAAATCCCTCCCATAAGGTGCAAAATTGGCTTTGAAAAAGGTTGATAGGTGGTTGTTATTCCCGACATCCACGTCCGAGTCGCCAAAAATTATCAGTGCGGGAACAAGGGGTTTGGCAACTACAATCATGGCGGAGGCCAGTGATGCAAATATGAAAGCTAATGCTTCTTTTGTTTTGACGCCCATTTTCTTTTCTTGAAAAGGTTTGTCTTGAACTAGAAGGCTTCATCTAATTGTGCAGGTCGACAATTGAGACCAAATAAGAGGAGAAAAGAGAGGGTGCCCCAGTTCACTTAATGCTGCATTGAGGAGGGAAGATGAGAGGTTGGGCAGCACTGAATGGTGCCTAAGAATTGAGAGGTATATCTACATATGGATTTAATGTCTTCGCTAATGAATGAAAATTGTATGTATGATGTAAGAAAAATAAAATCTGAAATTTTTTTTTTTAAATTCTTGATATCCAAACACACCCACTGACTTGAATGGATATAAGTGCCACACTACCGACCATTTTTGAAGTTGCAATCCTTCTTTAATTTTGAAAAGGTACTTTTACCTCTTATGATTGTGATTTGACGCTTTATCACGTAATCCTCTTATGATTTAAAAATTTATACATAATTTCTCGTGATTTGGATTAAAGTGTCACCATTAATTTTTTCATTACAATTAATTGGCAAAATTAAAAAGTCAAAATTAAATTGATAAACTTGCTCTTTCTCTATTTTTCTTTCTTTGGGGAAGAACATGGATGATTTTACAAAATGTATTTTGGCCTACTAAATCTGCAAATACAAAAAAGAAGAAAAAAAAATAAAAAAATAAAAAAGAAATAGAAAATACCACTAGACATTTGCAGTCACTAAAATTTTGGTTTAAAAATGTATAATTATATTTGCAACCATTACGGATTTGATTTAAAACCTACAATGATTTTTGCAGTCATTAAAGATTTAAAACCTACAATGAATTTGTCAATCTTTTAGTTTGTCATGAGGGATTTATGTATAGGTTTTTAAATTATAGGGGAGATATATGATAAAATATCAAATGAGGAGGGCAAAAGGTAATTTAGCCTTTTAAAAATTCTCCAACATTGCAGGGTTTGTTTCCTTGGACTGCTGCGGCCAAGAAAGAGTATCAGACTGAGTCAAAATGTAACAGTACAGGACAATAAACATTACCACCCAACTGCTCTAATCTAATGCAGCCAAGATCATTTTGGTGGTGTGAAATTGCACCCTTGCAATAATACAGAAGGCACTATCGATGGAGGTCATTTGGACCATGGCCTTGGTAAAGTTGGTATGATCTAATTCGTTTGGGTTATGCATGTTTATCAAACTCTAGTGGAATAGTGGTGATCAGAGAATTGCATGAAAAGGTGTTTCAGCCCCCAAGACTTCAAACTTATCTTTAATGTTTCATTTTTTAACAGGGAATCGAAGGAACTTTTTCACTCTTATGGAGAAGTTATGTCAGCCCTGTGATGAATAACGAAGATGTACTTGTTAGCAAAGTATTTGGTTTTTGCAACTTCATTTCTTTCGCATCATTTATCAAAGCTTCATCCGCCGGTGTAAGAGAATCAATTGTACTGTTAACCAATCTACTCTTGTTAGTTTGTCATTACCTTGTCTTTGCTACAAATCTTTCCACGGTTGTTCCCCATTTTTCAATTTCTTGAAAAGCTGCTGCACGGACTTCCACCATTTTTTTTTTTTTTAAGTGTGAGGTTTCGAACTTGGACTTCTTACTTACACTTTCTCCTCTCTTATCATCCAATTCATCCCTCCCCTTTCATGTACTTCCACTTAAACAGTCACAGAAGGAGTTAATCGAGGACATGGCATGCCGCTTATGATGAAAATTTCTTTATCTTTGTAAGTTTTTGCCATGACTACTGTTTTTATAGCTGCACAAAACAACATGCATACATTGAAATATAGCAGAATCCTTTGTTGTACACACAGATAAATGGAGGGAAAAAAAAAAACTGTTACAAGCTTGTTGCCTCTTTGAAATGCAAATATATATATGTATGTATATATATATATGTATATGTATATATACATATATATATATATATATATATAATCAACGTAGGTGGAAAACTTGGATTTCATCAGCCTATGAGGCTGATGCCTTGAGCGATCAACCCATCGGCAAGAATCTGATTTGCAGCCTGAGATGGATGTACGCTGTCCCAAAACACATATTGGGTTGCGTTGCTACAGGTTCCTGGTGACTTCGGATTGCACAAGAATATCGTTGTCTCAACTGTCCCTGTTCCGCAGCAACCTCTGGTTGCTTCATTGAAACCTACGAAAGAACAATCAAAAGTACAAAACTTATTAATTGAGGAATTCTTTTCTTTTTTCCCCTGCAGTGAAGAAAGTTGATGGACCATCTCTGTCCAGTGAAGTTATTGTGATTGATTCTTATATCTTTTGGCATAAACTCGGACAATTTTGGTGATGTAAATTGGGACAATTTTGGTGTAATCATGAATTAGTTGTACGAGTGCACGAAATTTTTGTTTACTCCAAAATTGTACCCCTTTTACACCGACTATTGGAAGAATTGCAGAACCAGGCATAACTGGACAGAAATTCAACCGGAGAGGCCTCGGATCCGAAAGTTGTTTTATGGGTTCACATACCATAATTGGAAGGGGATTTGACCACGTCGTACAGGGGCTTGAAAATGTCGAAGACGGCTAGCTTGAGGTCTGGAAACTGTTTCTGGAGCTGGGCTGCGGCGGAGTTGATCTTCTTATTGAATTGTTGGGCATCGGTGTTGATATTAGCAACGCATCCAGGCTGGTGAAATCCAAATAAAGTTCTGGCTGCTGGAAGACACCCCAGTGGCGGCAGTGAAGTCACTCCAATTCTCCTGGCTCCTAACCCATACAAATTCTTTTTTTTTTTTTTTGAAGAGTTAATTAAGACTGAAACCAGAAGTTGAATGACAAGACCAAAGCTTTTCTTTTTCTTTTTTTACAGAATAATGTTGAAAACAAGAATATCAAGTATGTACCTTCACGAAGTTTGAGAATATGCCAACAAGGTAGGAAGAATACTGATCGGGGGTGTAGACTTTGTTCAGCAAGGGATTGAGGTAATAATTTTGTAAGAAGTCACTGCTACCAGCACCCACAATATATAGTGCACCCCCGGCGATGGATGCTGCTTGACTGGTGCCTGCTACTTGTTCTAGCTTGCTTCTATACTCTTTGAAATACTGCAATTGCTGGGACAATGGTATAGCATGCTGTTCCAAAACATACAGGTATGGAGAAAAAATTTTAGTGTCAAATGACTGGAAACATACCACTAGCCTTTGCCATGCATCATTAAAATTATTCAATTTTCCTCCATGTTATGCAGGTTGTTGGACCCAGATGCAGTAATGACGGGGTGGTGCATTAGATAGCTCTTACGCTTAAGTAGGCTGTTTTGTCATCATATCCAGATGCAGCAGAAGCAAAGTTGGCTCCAATGAGAAGGTTCTTCCCCGATGCCTGAGGGCTAAGATATGCTGGCGGATAAGTAGTAAACCCCAAAGTATTGGCTGCCAAGAGAAACAGGATGGAGAATAATCAGTACGAATACCATATTAATTCTAGTACTGTTACAGATAATTATATTGCAGGAGACCTTAAAAATGATACTTATACCACACGTGCATCAAAGTTTCTACAGCCTAAGCACGTGGTAATCATAGTTACCTATAGACCAGCACTAAGGATACAAACGAATCTAATTAAACTGAACATTTTAGTGTTCATACTTGTTTAATTATTTTAACGAGCAACTGGAACGAGCATATGAATATTATCGAACATAAAATATTGTTTAAGTTTGACTTGACCAGCTGTCGAATCAAACTCAAACAAGCTCTTTTCAAGTCGAGCTCTCGATTCGATACAAAAAAAAAAAAAACTTTCCAAATTAACGTTGGAATTGGATTCTTGAACTATACTTGCCTGTAATATCAGTAGCAAGCTTTCCATTGCAGAACCTTCCGGTGGGTTGGTGGTTAATAAAATCCCTTCCATAAGGTGGATAATTAGCTTTGAAAAGGGTGGGAAGGTAGTTGTTATTTCCGACATCCACAGCCGAATCTCCAAATGTGATCAAAGCCGGAACAAGGGGTTGGGCATTTGAGCTGATGGCAAAGGCCAATATTGCCAAAGATGCAAAAAGAAAAGCCATGGCTTCTTTCGTCTTGATGTCCATTTTTTTCTTGAGAAGCTATCAGCTTTAAACTCCAAGATTTCAGCTAATTTTGGAGGTGAACAATAAAAGCTAGAAGTATTTAAGGTGAAGAGGAAAAGGATGGCCAATTCAAATTAAATGTTGCATTGAAGAAGGGAAGATGAAAGTTGAGTGGGTTTTAATGGTGCCTGCGAAGTGGTTGCGGCATTATTTAGCGCATTCATGGCATGCATGATACCGGTGTCCCCTGACGAACTTTCATTTCAGCTCATATCATATCTGCATAGATATTTCCCCTTGTGCCTCTCGTTTTCTACTACTATAATTTCCTGGTGATGCAGTTCCTTTGAATGGCAAAAAGAAAAAAGAAGGACGTTGACTTGTCATCACCATAACTCTCCCATGTTACCAATCTGGTGCTAGAATAAAGACTTGGCATTAAAACTAGGTTGCCTCCTCCTCCTCCTCCTACTCCTCCTCCTCCTTCTTCCTACCACCTCTTCCCCTCCTTCCCCCTCCCCCCCAACACACCAACAACAAAAACATAATTCAAGGCACAGAATAGAAGGCCAGTACTTTCGTTTACACATCTAGTAAGGTGAATCAGGACCTGACCCAAAATTGAACGTCCCATAAATTGTTTCTGTTGATTTGAGAGCAGCAGCAATTATGATATTTTCCCTGATCGGGGATTATTGACAAAGGGGCAGTCAGAAAGTAGTTCGGTGGAGTGGTGGGGTTTCTTTCCTTGGGTTGCGGCCACAGGAGAGCAGCATGGTGACAGTTGATATGTATCACAAAACAAAACAAGTCCCTCACAAATCCGAATTCCGCAATGGACGATTTATAAGGACTCCTGTGCAAGTCATGGATAATTTGTAAGAACTCGCGTAAGTTATCTATGATTCCAAAGATATGCCTAGGTGATCGAAATCGAACTCTTTCAAATTTTTTCTCACACAAAAAAAAAAAAAGAAGTTAAAATCACTGAATGCTCTTAAGCATCTAAAAGTCGACAAGATCAGCAGCTACCATGCAAAGCCACCCATCTCCTTTCTGGGTTCTGGCGGTCCAAATACCCAATAATAGACGTACCAGACAGCGTTCAGATAATGCAATACAAGTACCTTTTATCCTAATCTCTTCCACTGAAAAAGGGAGTCCTCTTGATCACCTGAAGAGATTTTTAGGTAGACAGACATGATTATTAGGTAAGGATTGAGCTGCCGAACATTAAAACCCTCTATCTGCCCAACTAGTCCTATTGGGTTGTCCTTTAACCTTATAATTCCCTGCTGCTGTACTCATTAAAATCTAAAACGCTGGTGTTGTCTTGTGCTTTTCATCAATTTATTATGTGCTACAGATTTTTTTTTTTTTTTTTTTTTGGTGAAATGACGTCAATTTGGGTTCCTTTGGATTGGCACAAGTGTTTAGTAGGTTCTTGGGCGTGGTTTGAGTCTTAGAGGAATTGTAGATTGGCAATGCTTTAGTTCCTCCGTTTCGAAGACCAGCTGGATGCGATTCATAATAACTACCTGTCTCTCAATTGTCTGTCCAGACATTCCTTTCTCGGAAATGTCAGATTCAGACCTTAATCTTTCTTCTTTTAAACAATCGGTAATTGGAGTACTATATTTCCATGCAGAAATCGATGCATGATGTAATATTACAATTACTATGAGAATAAGACTATTTTATTGCAAACATTAAACAAGAATAAGGAGCCTCTTTGAGGGTTTTTTCCTTCCTTTTTTAAGGCCAAGAGCTTTAGTATCACTCTCAACCTGCAAAATGTCAACTTTTTAAAAAATGTATAAAAAAACTTAGAAGGTACTCTTAGGGACTTCTTAGGGCCTTTTTTTTTTTTGGTTGGAACAAGGCCAATGTTGATATCTTGGATTAAGATTTGCACGATTGCCTAGAGTATCAAAATAACTAGAATAATTTAGTACCACAAAAACTGCGATTAAGAAGATTGATGAATCAGATGAAGCTGTCTTAATGTAAGAATACACCGATAAAAGCGGGAAGGTACACCGAATATTTCAATGAAATGTTATTATAGAAAAATTTTTAAGTTTTTCGTGAACACATTTCTCAATCATCTTTTTACCTCGTATGCATCAAATCAAATCGTTGCAGTATATTTTACTACAAAAACTCTTAAAAATAGCAATACAAACGGGACCTTAATTTCTTGAGTTTAAAGTAACAACAATAAACGAGGTTGGCATTTTCCAAACAAATACAGCAGCTAGAATTTTTATTATGTTGGCCTTGGTCGTGACTACTTCACTTGTAACATAATGGAGGAGATTCATTAATATTGAGTGCCAAAATTAGCTCATGGCATCAAACCGGATTACAGAAGGTCAAAAAGAAAGAAAGAAGTGTTGGAATTGAAGGGCTGTGAGAGCAATCTTCATGGAGCTTTATTTCCTGATTCAGTAACAAAACAGGCGCAATAGCAACACTCCGGTGGCGGTAGTTTTCTTTGGCAACATAAACATGGAGGACAATGTGGCTTCTGCATGAGCTCTGCTTCAACCAAAACATGTTGAAAAGGAAAAGGTAATAATCATGCATAATTATTAAGTAGAGCCTTTGGTAGCTAGACAACCGATACTTGTACTAATATACAATTTGCAACTTGGAAAAAAAAAAAAAAGAAAAAGAAAATTATGGGATTCACTTTACCTCGATGAGTTAATCCAGTAATTCCAGCTGCAAGGGCTGGCGGTATGGTTGATGAAAGAATTAGGATTGCAAAGATAACAGATGCAACCACCAGAGACTCTTGGGAGGAGTTGGCTGTCATTTGCCCTGGATCACTAACTGATGAAAAAATATTATTGATAATAAAAAAAAAAAAGTCTGTCCTAGTGAAAATTGTTGTATTTAGTCTCCTGATCAAGGATTTTATGGATCGCAATTAACAAGCTTGCATTGGCATATATACATATATATATATATATATATATATAGGTGGTTCTAGCAATGGTCTTCAAAGAGAGAGAGCTAATTTCCGTAGAATTGGGCCTTTTGACTGACCCGGGCAGCTCAATTTTCCAGAGCCAGTAGTGGGTTCCAAGTTCAAAGTCTCCTTCAGTTCAGGCGTTTACGCCCGGGCCGGGGTCCATTTGTCACTGCTGGAAACGACCGCTAATGTTTTTGGACAAACTTTTTGACCATTAAGAAGGTGGATACTTTAATTAATGCAACTGGAACCATACAAAAAAGACTGCAATCGAAGTCGTCCACTTTAAATCAACGACTCGTAGAACAGTCCGCGAACCGAATTTTAAAATTTTACTTAAGCGTAGATAAAATGATCAAATTCTATTATTTACATTTTAAAATTTAGATTTTTTTAAAATTATCGTCAGCAGGTACATGGGCACTTGTCTGGAACGATGATGGTTCAGTTCCCCCGACTAATTCTTAAATCTCGCCAAGTCCTTCCTTTCTCTAATATAAAATAGTGTGTAGATCTATTGTATCCGATTAAATAAAAAAAAAAAAAAAAGAAGTAGTCGTCCACCAAGGCAGTGGACAGTAATTTATACACAGTAATGGGACTAAGTTAATCATTCACCAAATTGTTTTCTTACGATTAGTGGAAACTGTAACGTGAATAACAGGATAAATTGCGACAAATGGTGAAGCAAAATAATTTTGATGTCTCGTTGATGATGTTAATGTACACGTGCCTCTGAGGTCACAAGCCCACGCAATTTTCTTCCAACACAACACAACCTTTTCTCTTTTTTCCATAGCAACAACAATTTTAGTTGTTTGACGGTGTAATCCGAGTTTCATTGAATTCCATTGCTGCAATTTTGAGTGGCAATCCGCAATCGATTGAACATTTGCTACTAAGATTTGACCAAACCTCTAGGGATATTTAATAAAGCTATAAAAATATTTTTAAAAAAAATTTGATAGAACTCGTAATAGTAATAGTGCAAAACAAACAATAACATGTAGAGATTATACCAATGCAAAAAGAATTAAAAAAAAAAAAGAGAGGATAGATTATACCAAATTTGAGTATATGCAAAAGAGAGAGAGTATATGAGATGGTGGTTGCATTAATAAATACAAGAAAAGGAGAAAAAAAAAAACAAAGTTTAATTAGAAGTCCTATTGCCATTATAATTAGAGTATAATTTTATTTTAATTTGCATCTCATCTCATCTCATCATAAAACCCCTTAATATCACTATTTTTTTTAAAAAAAAATTAGGGGAATATAATGAGTTAAAATGACAACATTGAGAACCAAAAGTACAAATTTAAAATTGTTGACTAATGAGAATTTGATCTTGACCGTTTGACATTGTTGAATTTCTATTAATTGTGCTAAATATGCCTAAAATAAAAAAATTTTGGGAACTAAATTTATTTTAGACAAAATATTGCGAACCAAATTAGCACGCAAGCTAAATATTGAGACCCGAGACTGCAATTCTTCCTAAGATACGAATTTGCTTCTTTTAATAAAGACGTCCTGCCATGTGTTGCGGTTGCGGCAAAAATCTAACGTTGAATATAGAGTTGTGTAAATGTGAAATATCTTAATTGTCAACAATCAAAGTACCAAAGGAAATTTTGCTACTGACTCTCGATGATTATACATGTACAGTAAAATTTGCTGGTTACAACCGTTTAGACCGTAATGCCCAACTTATGCTGGAATTTGACATTTGTTACCCATTCTAATGCGCTTCTTGACGTGAATCAATCAGGCGGAAAGTTGGAATTCAAACAAGCATTTGAAAACATAGCGTAACAAATAGGGAAATTAATGAAAACTTAATTAAGTTTTGCACGCTAATTAAACTCCGGACATCCGTGTTACACAAGTCTTGTATATTCTCCTCCATTCTACATTCTAATTTTTGACTCTTCACCATCTCAGCTTCGCCGGGAAATACTGCAAGAAAACCGCCGCCATTGTCATAATTAGTGGCATACAAGTTAAATCACATGGCGAGTAAGTAGCGCGTGTGATTTAATGGAATGGGCATCGTTAGTAAAAAAACACTTTTGAGCTGTAATTGTGGAATAAACTCACCTTGTCGATGAGAGAGAGGTAATAAGGCTTGACTCTTTCCGCGTCAATTCTGACCTTGCTCTTGCTATAGAGATCATATTTACTGTGTAAAATTGTAAAATAGGAGTTGCAATTTAGGGGAATCAGGCAAGCATTACTATAAAATAAAGGATTAATTTTTCCTACATCGACAGTCGGCGTTGGATGAATGACAACTATGCAAAAATTGAATTTTTGGCACACGTATCATGGATCCAATGGTTATAGCGTATGCAATGTCAGTGTATATAAAATTTATTCTAAAATAAATGCTTTTTTTTTCTCTATGCTTTTAGAATATGTAAAATACTGCTTTAAATAACTCATTCTATTACTTGAATATTTGAAGCCACTTGAGATTCTGCTCGTCTTCCTCGTTCGTCAAGTGCTTGTATGCTCCTGACCTATGCAATGCTGGGATTGCAAGAAATAAGCTTTAAATTCTACATCCATATATATCCATGATCCATTTCGAGGACCAAAACAAATACTAGGTTAGTTTTCCTCCCTGACGTACCATGAAAGGAATGGAATCTGATGATAAAAAGGCCAGCAGATGGCAGCGTTGTGTTGTTCCCTCTGGCCACCTAATTTATTTCACACAGCATCCAAAATAAAACATTTACCAGGATTGTGCAGAATAATTAATCAGAGAGAAAAATATTTACCAGATACATGTAGTCATCATGGCCCCAAGACATCAGCACGTTGTCCAGTCCACAACCTTCGGAATAAACTCCACATTTGGTGTTGTACGCAGGATCAGCGTAGTCAGGATTTTCCTTGAAGTACTGCAGTACACCAAGCACATAAACTCAGATTTAAGACAACTAAAATTAGAAGGAATACCGCTGTATTCAATACTGTTAAGACAAAGTACCTTGTGGTGGACAATTGATTCGTCAAAAGCGCACCCAACTGGGAATGTGTCACCTACCAAATATTTTTAATCAGTCAGCATTTCCCTAATCGAATGTTTTCGAGAAGGTTCAATAAAGAGTCTTTTTAACTTCGATTTTTCACTCACCTACAACGGCCCACTGAGGGAGCTCTCCAAAGCTCGGAAGATTAAGAACCTTCCCAAGATCTGAAACACAATTGGAGCCTGGTTAATTATCATTATCCATTACTGCTGCTACTACTGTCTTGATTCAGCAGTTCTTTCTTTTGTGGTTTGTGGGTTGTTCCAAGAAATGGTCAATGAGGTCGTACCATGGATCAGGGCGGTCAAGTGTAGCCAATCTTCATCAGGATAATCTTTTCTGATGGCTTCAGCAGTCTGCAATAAGTGCTCAATTTGAGGTTCATCCAAATCAGGATCACTTTCATCAACCACTTCATTGAGAAGTTCACAGCATTCCCATATGCTCATTTCCACCTTGTCCAACTTCCCATACTCTTCTCTCATCTTCTTTACCTGCAGTTGATCGAGTTAATAAACTAACTAATGGGTTGTGTTTTAACTAAACTAGATATCTTAGTGTTCACCCCCGAGAAATAATTGAATAAAGGAATCCATATTAAAGCTTAATTGTTGCCATTGCAGTTACAAATTAGAAATTTACAGAAATAAAAATTCAGAGACCCCAAAAAACTAAGAGTCTCTCCAGGCTAGAAAATGGTAACGTTGTTTGGAGAGCAAAAAGAAATAAAAAAAAATGGTATAGGCCGGTACTTAAAAAGCAAAAAATATTTAACACATTACTTACAAAATCATATGTTTGGCAAATATGATTGGTCCTGTAGAAATTCTCAACCCCTTGTTGCCTTGCACTTTCAGCATCATAATCCCTGTTTCAGAAGGGAGTAATATTGATTTGGTGAGGAGTTGGTTTAGAGACAAAAAAAAAAAAAAAAGTAAATTGAGATTAACAATTGTCATAGAGTTGCATAATTATGGGCTTGTGGGTATAGGACTTGTTCCATGAACGTGTTTCTTTGATCTAGGCCCGAGAACCTCAACAATTGGGGTGGATTTCTGCCTTTTGTTTCCACTTTCCTTAAAACGTACGTGTCAGGGCATATATCAAAAAATCATCCTCTTGTGATATGAGATTAGGATCTTAATTGCTCCGGTGCGATAATTAATCATACAACTCCTCCGAGCATTACCAGTAAATTTCACCTGCAATTGGGTTGAGTTTCAGCTGCATATGGGTAAAAATCAAATTTCTCCTTTTTTTTTTTTTTTTCCTTTTCCCCTGGCTCTGATTTCGTGTTAGAAAATTTGAAGGCATGGTACCAACTTCATTTACGAATTTCTAAAGGTCGAATTCGATGATTGCATCGTTCTCTATGGGTTTTGGTCTGTTTTGTTAATCTAATAAACAGTAAAAATGATCAATCAAAGCAAAGAGAGAATGACCTAAAATTTTGGCCAAAAGCATTGGCCTGAGGCACAGAAAAGCCCCCGTCCAATACCAATTCCCTTTCATTCTTTTGGATCCCCTTTTCCTTTACCTCATTAATTCCTGTTTTCACGAAACGAGGCAGACGGTCAGGCAAAAAGGAGAATTATGAAAAAAAAAAATTCTAATAATTCGTACAAAGTGAATTTTTCCAATTTCCTGAACCCCGCCCTTCCCCCCCCCCCCCCCCCCAAAAAATGAAAAAAATAGGGAAAAAAAAAGACAAGGACTCAAAAATCAAGGGCAAATCAATGAAAGCTTCGGTCAGCCCTCAAATTCACTCTCGAAGATGATGGATAATAAAGGTGGAAAAAAAAGAATTTGAAACCGTGCAAAATATCTAAAATACTAACGACAATGAAAATTGAGAATTACGTAACTTTGATTTGACGAATAAAAATATCCTAAAAACTGAGAGCCAAAAAAAAAAAAAAATTATTTCAATTTTTTTTGAAGAAAAAAAAAGAGGAAAATTACCAAACTCTGGCTGTTCAACGAGGATAGTCATCCTGAATCAAATCCTACCGATGCAGAAATTCTTAAACTAAGATGAGAAAATAAAAAGCGGCGTGAAGGGAGAAAAAAAAAAAAGGGCGTTGGGGGATGGGAACAGGAATGAGGCCGTGTAGAATGGAGGTATTGGGAAAGGGGAGTATTTATAACGGCCGGAGAGTCCTTGCCTGAGATTTCAGGTCCTCCGAGCCCTTACCTGAAAAATCTCATTCTCCTCAGTCCTTAACTTTTATATTAGTGTATTATTTTTTTAGAAAAGTTTTCAGTAGTAGCCTTTCATTATCCTTTTGCAAGTGCTTATTACTTAAATATAATTTGCGGTAGACGTCGAAGAGTGGAATTATAGAGAGAGAAAGCTGATGATCGTTTCTTTCTTTGTCTCTCTACATCTATCTGCTCACGCGATGCTCTGTTATAGGGCTGTGCGGTGCAGGTGGCCGGGCCTTGTTGCCTGCAGTGAATTGGCGATTGAATTTCAATCCCACCAAACAACGGCAGCAGTGGATTCGCTCGCTGGCCGTTCTTTTCGGTTACTTTTTATTTTTTTTACAGGTGGTGGGGTCCATCCTGACTCAGCTTCGAGTAGGAAATCACATCCCTTGGGGCCCCGCTGCAGTAGAGTCCAGTGAAAGACTACGACGAACGACCGACCCCACCGTTAATTGGACTACCGACTGTCCGTAACAGTCCTGTGATATCACACGGGTCCCGTGGCCGCGGGGCAGGTAGGTGGTGATGCTGATATTTCAATTCTTTCCACTTTTTTTTTTGAGTAATTGGATTCACAAAAATTTACTCCTTTACATTGTTATTTTTAGGGAATTTTATAGAAAATTATACTATAGTGATTTGATGTATGTATGTAAAATAAAAGAGTGATTGAAAAATATAAAAAAAAATTGTTGATGAAAAATTACATTCCAAAGAAGACTATAGTAGGTTTAGTCATAGTTGCGAGCTCCCAATCACGTTATTCCAAATCTTTTTATGATCTAAATTTATAAATTTGATCTCGGTTTTGTGTAAAAACACCGGTCCTTATGAAATTATAACTATATCACTAGAAATTTTATGAATTTAAGTCTGTATACATAGATTAGCATTCTGTACATTGACCACGTATATTTTGTCACCGTTGAATGCATGATAATTAAACTGAATTTAAACTTTAAATTAAAATATGATGTACATGTCATACGTGTGTAACTGTGATACCGTAGTCATTACATATAAGATAAACGCACAAGTATTAATTTAGAAAAGTGTCTAAAATGCAATGCATGACGATGCATTAATTGTGACTTTGTGTTTTAATATGATAAGTTATGTATAATTTAACTATGGACATTGATTAAAAGAATTTAAAATGTAATATTATATTGTTACACCTGGGGAAGGGTCTTATGATTATACACAATTCGATCCTGTAACCTCCCCAACGATCCAGTGTAGAATCTAAATGTTAAAAACCTTGGATTAAGCAGGCTTAGTTTGTGCGTTCACTCATAAACTCGCTCTGTGACTCCATGTTATATTTAATGGGTTTTCTTATGGATAAATTTTCCCAGTAACACCAAAGTCCAGAGATATTTTTCTCATATATGGCTTTTAATCACATTTCGAAAGATCCATTGCAAAAAAAAAAAAAAAAAAAAAATTTTAATAATTGAGAACTAAAATAATAAGAAAATGCATCATAAAGGAAAATTTGTATACGAGAAGTCAATTACTTGAGCAGATGCCTCAAATCATAAAAACGAAGACATCCGGTCCAACGCTGCATGCAATAAACGCAATCAAAATCGTCGAACCTCACCATTCCATGCAAATTAGAAAACCAAAAACTACTCAGGCAACAGTGAGGCATATTATTATATATGCCTTTCGCATCAAACCAGAAATAAAAACACAAAAGAAACTAAATTTTTTTTTTAAAAAAAGAAGAAATAGTACAAGTAATTTGGATTATAGCTTTCTAAAGAAAATTTGTTATATTTTTCGTGAATGTATTTTTTAATCGCTCTTTTATTTTTTGTACATTAAATCGCTATTAAATATTTTTTTATAAAAATTTCTAAGAATAAAAATTCAAACGGGATTCTAATGTTTTTCTTTACACAGTTATCAAGTTTTATACATTGAGCACAGCTGACCAGTACTAGTGTTCAATCAAAACACGCCCTTAATAAGCTTCGTCTACTTTTTTTTTTTTTTTTTTTTTTTTTTTTTGGGGTTGATTCTCACCAAAATTGGGGAAAAAAAAAAGTTTTTGTTACTGGTTCAGCCGCCCAACGGCCGAGGCTTGTAAATTAGCCGTGACTCGTGAGATGTTTCCTTGCTCGCCGGCCGCCCGTCCGTCCGTAGTTGCCTAGTCACCATATCAACGTCACAGTTGCGGATGGTCAAGTCAGCGACACGAGCATCCCAAGAGGTTTCCACCGACGACCACCGGCGTGCCACGTCTCCTACCACCAGGCATCAACTTCCCAGCTGTGCCCTTTTGTAATTTCCGATGACATCAGTTTATGTAACGTCGGTGAACCAAAAGGACACATTGCATGGTCCCCATCAGCATGGAAACAAGAATCCAATTTTTTTTTTCTTTTCTCTGTTTTCAGAAAAAAATACATAGAAGATGAAAACTTTCGCTATTTTCTGTCAACTCTCCTCTGTATCCTCCTCATAAGTCCCCTGTTACGTTTCATACTTTTGAGTAGTCTTTAAAATCTAACTAATGGAATCGTCAGTGCCATTTTTTCAGTGACAATTCAGTATCACTTCTATATATATGTCAAATATTTTTTTTATTTAATTTATCATGTGCTGTATATTTAAATTTTTTCTACCATCACGTGATAAGTGGAATTGATACTGAATTTAATATCTAATAGTGGCATAGAGGATCCAAAGTGAGCCATAAAAGTAAGATGTTCAGGCAATGCGTACTGATTGATCCCTTTCAAGCTAGACACATGAGTTGCAGTCAAGAACAATGTGGCCCGTGTAAACTGCGTTCAAACATGTATTGGCTACCGTGCGCTGAAAATTTAGGCCCAATAACTAAACTTATACGGCCTGTTTAAGGCCCAAATTTGATATCCAGTCACACCACAAAAATTTTTGAAGGCTTTTTTCGTGTCCGACTACGAGTCGTGTTTTTTTTTTGGCTTTCTAATTTAGGATTTATTTTCAGTTTAGCATATGCCCCACCTTTTTGCTTTTTGAGTACTAGCATTAAGTTAGAACAAGCGCACAACTTATGAGCTGAGAAGGCCATTGAGGCCTCAGAAATTGAAAGTTTTAAATTTATCTCTTCCGCTTTTTAAAAAATGTAAGTGGAAGATATCGAATTCGAATTTTTCGTTTACAATCTCTACCCTTATAATATCTAATTCATCTTGTCCTCTAACCCTTTTGGTTTCTCAAATCCCATCCTTCTCCTTTTTTTTTTTTTTTGTGGAAAATAATTCACAACTATTGAGATTGGGACTCAGTTCGTAAAATCAACCGATTTTTACAAAGTAAACATATGTGTATGTTTATATGCAAATGTATTTTTTTCAAGCATCGGCTAATCGATAACAGGATGGATTAGGTGGTGCGTAACTACAATGCAAAGGCAAATCACAAAAATTAGCCGTTAATAAGCTACAAGGCTACAACAGATGAGACTGGGAATGAAAAGAAACGCAAAGTGAGATCAGTGTTTTAACCTTAATAACCTAAACATAAAGGCCAACAAAGTAAGTAAATGATATACATATATATATCAAAAAATATTTAGAACAGTTAATGATGATATATATATCATCATTTCCCTCAGAGAAATAGTGCAAAACCTTCTGACATTTAATCGTGTTTCATTTTTCGTTGTACCAAAAAAAAAAGCAAGTTAAACATATATTTCTCCACTCTGGAACCCCCCGAGCAAGTGCACATCTTCTGATTAATTGCCGGATGTAGCATACTTTCTAATATTGGACCCTTCCTTTGCGGGAACTCTTAACCCATGGCCGCAAACAGGAGAATTTTCCTCCGCCAACAAAACTTTCTTGTCCGAACTTCCACTTCCAATTTGCCCAACCATTCTGACATCAATTGTTTCTCCTGGAAATCAATTCCCATTTAGCATTCACGTTTTTCTTTTCTTCGAATCTGTCCCATTTTCTGTCATGTGGGACATTTCCGTTCTTCAATAATCATCAGGATTATGAGTCTCGAAACGAGAATACTGCCTCCTACATCCCGATTAGTTCAATAGTTCTTCTAGCAATCCCTGAAAAATTAATTGCCACTAGTTATTCGATTTAACTCCCTGACCAGGCCGTCCGTGCCCGTCCTTTTTCTTGTGATGCACAAATTAAGAACCAGCAACGCGGCCGAGGAGTTCTCGATTATTGGATGAGTGGACGAACATCATCATCTTCATGCAGTTTTTGGCGATCATGTCCATTTGTTCTCCTTCCATGTTGGAGTTTATTCAATTTATGTGTTGAAAGGCGGGAAGTTCGAATAAATGGCTTACCGGATCAGCTCCAGGTCCCAGTCATGGTCAGTTTCCCAACCTTCTTTCGCTCAGAGGATAACAGAAGACCCCGTAACGACAAAAAATGCCCAGAGCACGGCCACCTGCGTTTATCAGACTCATATCGGTGGTTACTGGAGAAATGTCACAGTTTTGTGGAGCAAGAATCTGATGAACCATTCCCTGAGCATAACCGTAGATAGCGTAGAGACTGATTATCATCAAACGTGCAAGATTGACCTTAAGCCGTGGCATTTTTGGGCCAAAAAGGGGTACAAAACCTTCGAGGTTGATGGAAACCAACTAGATGCGTATTGGGATCTGCGATCGGCTAAATTTTCTGGGAGCCCAGAACCATGTACAGATTTCTACGTAGCTCTAGTTGCGGATGAAGAGGTGGTGTTATTAATAGGGGATTACAAGAAAAAGGCCTACAAGCGGACGAAGTCAAGGCCTGCATTGGTTGATGCTGTCCTGTTCTTCAAGAAAGAACATGTTTTCGGCAAGAAGTCCTTTTCTACTAGAGCCAAATTTGATCACAGGAAAAAAGATCATGACATTGTGGTGGAGAGTTCGACATCAGGGCCTAGAGATCCTGAAATGTGGATCAGCATCGATGGGATTGTTCTGATTCACATCAGGAATCTGCAGTGGAAATTCAGGGGTAACCAAACTGTTTTAGTCAACAAGCAACCGATCCAAGTGTTCTGGGATGTGCATTCTTGGTTATTTTGCAGCCCTGGAACGAGCCATGGTTTGTTCATCTTCAAGCCAGGGGTACCAGAGGCAGAAAGCGACAAAGACAGCAATTGCACCGGCGATAGCGATTGCAGCGCTGATAGCCGCTATTATTCCACCCAAAGCCATTCCAAAAGTTCACCCTTCTGCCTCTTCCTCTATGCATGGAAGATCGAGTGAGATTCATTGAAGACAATCTTTTAACGTCTTTCGCGGGCTGAAGTGGCGCCAACCTGCACAGGCAAGTTGAAAGATTATCCAGTATAGGATCAAAATCAGACGTCGTTACCAGGGTATATTTGTTCAGTTTAATCCCAGAGTAATTTGGTTGTTGAATTTTGAGATCAAAACTTTTAAAAACTACTGCAGCAATAGGCTTGCATTGCCAAATACTGGAATCAGCGATCAGGATTATGATGACAGCTCTGATCATATGGTCATTTGCGTCATCAAATTTCATTCCCAGAGAATAGTTCCTTCCATAAGTTTGACCGTCATTGGTCCAATTTAAAAAACTCTCTTAGTTTTGACTTTGCTTGATTAACATTTTTCTCCAGTGAGGAGGGCTGCAGGATTGGTTGACAGTTGTCATGTATTCTAAAAGCATCTTCCTTTTTCTTT